CGCATTTGAAAAATTACCTTTTAACGCTTTCAAACACTAAATCGTACATTTAGAGATATAGATGGCATATATTTCACCGGTGCGGTTTTTACATTGATGGCAATAACGTATGTAACGTGAAATCTGATTGTGGAACTGGAAGAGTACAGGTAAGATCTCTATTTTTCGTGTTACTGCAGCTGTTGACGTGTCCAGAGAACATCTCAATGTTTTTAAAAAAGCTTCGCCAAGTGTCGTCTTTGAACTGTACGAAATAATTTTGAAGTACACTCAAAAACATTTTTTACGACGGTCATTACCGCGCGCATGGCGCCCGCCTCTGGCGTTACTTGCAGTGGCCAACGCCGTTTGGTTTAACGAAAACGGCAATGCGAGCCATCGCTATCCTAGCTCCCCGCCACACGATTAGGGGCGCGATTTGAGGGCCCGGAGGGCCCGAAAAGCCGGCCGGGGGTTTCATTCAGGGGCCCCGGTCCGCAGGGTCGGGTACTCCAATGCTAGCCAGAGGGCCCTGCGCGCTGATCGGGGACCCACTGAGGCGATAGAGGCCTATGATTCAGTCAGACACCACCATTAACGCACAGCCGGTTGCGTGGTGGCACGGAGCCGACTGAAACTAAGGGCCAATTTTCCTAGCAGGGATAACACCGGAACCAGCGATTTAAATTGCTCTGGGTCTCGCAGCGCCTGATGGGAGCCCTGGGTTGTCAACGGGTCCGAGTCGGCCAGAGGCAGTGTTCGAGAATATCCAAAGAGCCTAGAGGGCCCACCGGGTCCCATGACCAAGGGCCCGGTTGGAGGGTCAAAGGGCACAAACAGCTGGCCGGAGTCTCATTTAAGGGGCCCGGCCTGCAAACACGGACCGTCAAATAACAGAGGGCCCTTTGCGCCCATCGGGGATCCCCTGAGTCGATATGGGCCTGTACGCCGATCAAGTACCACCGTACCACATAATCGGTTCCGTGTCGGTATGGGCCTGAGGAACCACATACCAATCAGCTATAAAGCCGGGACCAGTGATTTACACTGGTCGAGCCCTGTATCTATCGGGCCAACAGCGTCTAACAGAGGGGACTGTGCTCGACAGGGCCTTGAGCCGGCCAAGGAAATTGCTCTATGAGGCACGAAGAGGGGCCCGGGCGGCCCAACGGGACCGACGATCAAAGGCCCGGCTGAAGGGCATAAGGGCCAGAAGGACTAGCTAAAGGTCACGTAAAGAACCGCGGCCTGTAGGGTCGCCATCTGGAATATCAGTCAGAGGTCATCTTACACCGTTTGAGGAACCCCCCGAGGCGATGCGAGTGTCTAAGTTGGTCAGAGGCCATGAACATCGAACAGGCGGCTCCATGTCCGTCTGAGCCCTTGAGACACATTTCCCCAACAGCAACCAGGCCGCGATCTGTGTTTTGCAATGTTCGGGGTCTTTGACGCAGTGAAGGGGTCTTGTATCGGTTCCGGGCCACAGTGCCGAACAGGGGTCCTGTGGCGGCAAGTGGTCCCGAGCTGGAGCGATGTTTGAGAGGGCCCCGCCCATAGTCACATTAAGGACCCCCGCCGATGGGGCCGTGATCTCAAAAGTCAGTAAGATGCTCTCTTGCGACGAAAGGGACCCCTGAGGCGTAGCGTTCCTCTACTTCGGCCAGAGCTCACAAGCAACGAATAATCGGCTTCGTGTCGGTCTGAAAGTACTCAAAAGTACTTTCAAAAAATACTCAAAGGTACTCAAAAGTACTTTTTAGATGCGCTACCACTTCCGTCCACCTATTGGCCACCGCCAAGAATTTCCGTCCACCTATCGGCCACCGCCACCACTGGCCGCCGCCAAGAAATAGCCGCAGGCTGGACGTTCTGCGGCCTAAGGAGACTGCAGTGCCTGACGTCGAGTTTTTGTTGCAAACGTTTTCGGGTGCGCATGCTCAAAAATACGGTGCGTTATCTGAGCCACTAATCAATCCTCACTGAATGTTGAAGATATCCAGGCAAGCATGGCTTTGACATGTTAATGCACATTGTTGACCCATTGTCATCTTCAGTCTACATTCGCGGAATAGCTGCTCTCTTTGTACCACCCAGATAATAATTCCGACAAAGTTTTTGGGTTATATCGGTTTAAAAGACAGTCTACTGGACCAGTGCGAAGGAAAGAGTGCCGGCGATTTATTTCGTGCAGTCATGTAGCCCGTAAGTTTAGTTTATTTCCTATAAACTTAAGCAAGATTTTATCTCGAGGAGGCGTCTGCTCCAAATTGCAGCGATAGAAGGTAAAAATGTGCAATACACACACACACACACACACACACACACACACACACACACACACACACACCCCACACACACACACACACACCACCACACACACACACACACACACACACACACACCCACACCCCACACACACACACACACACACACACACACCACACACACACACACACACACACACACACACACACACCACACACACACACACACACCCACACACACACACCACACACACACACACACACACACACACACACACACACATACTTGTGTGCCGTGCTTTACGGGACACCTGACTCAACCGTCACTACCGAGAACCACCCGAACGAATGGCGGCATCGCAGCCAAATTGGAGGGTCATGCAGCCATTTGGCCGTTTAAGAACAGGATGGGTCGTTCGAGGGATAAAGCTGCCATCGAGGGATAAAGGGATAAAGCTGCCATTTATCGAGGGATAAAGCTGCCATCGAGGGATAAAGGGATAAAGCTGCCATTTATCGAGGGATAAAGCTGCCATCGAGGGATAAAGGGATAAAGCTGCCATTTATCGAGTCATAAAGCTGCCATCTTTACCTTACACTGGCAATTGAAAATACCGAGGACATAGTGATAACAGAGGACCGTGTGTGACTTTTCTGTCATATTCAGCTGTGTATTGAGGACCAGGAGTTGCACCTGGAAATTAAGGACAAAGGGACAAAGGCTCTCAGGTCGGGGGCCTCGAACATCATTCAGAAGGACTCCTTGGGGGTTGTTGGGAAACTGAGGGCCCCTTTACCGGTGAGAGACGATGTCGAACAGTCTGTTTTGGATATCTGTCGACAAATGTATCGCCTGAAACCAACATGTTAATTAATCAGCGAGGCAACGACCATCCCATAAGCCAGTGTCGCGGGCCACCTTTGAAAGACGACGGCGACAAACCAAACACGGTCAGATATCAATGTGCTACCTTGTGCACAAGCGCGCAGCCAGAGCCTTGGCAATGGGCCAGGGGCACGCACAAGGTTGATAAAGGGCTCCCCAATAGTGAAAGCCCCCCCCCCCCCAAACAAAAATCTCGCTGGCATTGGAGTGCCCCATCGTGCCGGCCGGGGCTCTGAATAGTCTTCCAGCCGACCTTTCTGGCCTTTGGGCCCTCAAATCAGGCCCTTCATCGTAAATCCCGAGGCCCTTCGGGTCCCCTGAAACCTTAGGCAGGGGGAACGTGCCCCCTGTGGCCTTCCCTCCCTGCGCTCCTGCTTGCGCGTCAGGCTGTTGGTTTGCGTTTAAATATAGGCAAATAACGGCGGATCGTAGGCTTTCTGCTGCTTAAATCATTCATCTATAATATAACAATCGTTTTACTTTATTTGATCATGGTGCACTTTCCGGTCGTCCCGTTAAAGTCTAAATCAAGTCGGATAAATAGCAGCACACGCCATGTTAATGCCTGCCGAACATTCTTCATGAAAAAGCCCTCCCCAGGCCGGTTGATATCACCAACGGATTTTGGCTCCATCGACCCCCATACGACATTGGCTCCATGCTGTGGAATCACCTCGGACCGCATAACAAATGACTGCAGTTCATTAAACTGCCCGGTGAGTGTTTGCCCCGACGGCTGGGCACCCGGGACACTAAATGTTTTCCGTCCCCAACGGCCCGATTAGAGTAGGAGAAAGGGCAACCAACGCCTTTTGGGTTTCCATGACCCTTTAGCACTAATAGTGCTAACGGTGCTAAAGCATCATCAATGACACGGTCGGCGGCACACTACTCGACGGCGGTTTTCCCGAAGCTTCTGCTGTTGCAACGGTTGCAGCAGAGGGCGGCCAGGGCTGAGGAGCGGGCAACGGAGGCGACGCTCCAGACAGCGGTGGAAAAATTGACTCGAGGTGCCGCTGGAACTGTTTATCTGCTGACCGAGCTACTGCAGTTTCAGGTGCTTCGGCGGGCAGCCGCCCTTCATCTCATTCACAGGCGACTCCGACAGTCTCTTCTACACTGTCGGTGTTCCAGTCAGTATACAAAGCCCCATGTTGCTCGACCCTGCTCGCGAACCCCGGTGTCTTAGGGCGACAGCACACAGCCTCTAATGCTGTGGATGTGACTGGCGGTGCGAGTGCGCGGCGGCCTCCACTGGTGGGGTGCACAGTTTGTGGCCCGCTGTTGGGATACGGCTTGTGCCGGCGTCAATGCAGCGGTCTACTTAATGATGGCCTCTTTTATGCGACTGAGTGTGGGTGAATGGTTCGCTACTGGTGTAACTGTGAGTCACGTGCTCACGCTACCTGTTAAATGTGCCTTTCCCACGGCTTGCGTGTGTTGGGTTTTTATATACGTGTCAATTACGCATATGCACTTTCTTCATAAAAGTGGAATCCATGGTGCGGCGGCATGTAGCAATCAGCTGCTGACCGAGGAAGGAGGACCGTGCAACACTAAAATCAATGAGTCAGTCGTTACAGTCATTGCAGTCAGTCACTGAAGCCAAACGAGCTGTCTCATAAACATGTCGGCTGGTTGGCTGATGCGAGATTTCGTGCTCGACGCCCACGCGCCCATTCCAGGCTTCAAAAACTAGTCAAATGCCCCTGTGGCCCACCACTTGCCAATGCAACAAGTGTGCTTTGGTTAAGTGTAGTGGTGTCAGATTTGCCAACGGATTTCAAAAATGACGTGGAGAGAGAAGCATTTGCATTGAATCCTGTATTGGAAAGATGCAACAGGAGAATGACACACCTAGTTTGCTTCCAAATTGACATTCAGGTATAACGCATTTTTACCAATGGGGTGGGTCTATTTCCGTGCTTAGGTGTCACCTTCCGCCCAGAATTGCAAATCTCGCCACACTGCCCTTGGTGAGCACTGCTTTTTCACCGTTCATCAGCTCCACCTACACAGATTGCTACTATAAACGGGAGCAACAACAAGGAGATCGTTTTTGTCGTTGCAAAATTTACGGGCGAGCATCATCCAAACGTGAACGAAGTCGACATCTAATGTGTAAGTCACTGAGACTCACTTCGCCTTACGACGTGCTCTAACGATCACGTTATGGACATGGATTTAACATCTCTCCATGAGCGCTAGGACAGATCATTTTCTGCTGACAGGGCACGTAAACATGCAGCTTGGTCAGAAACCTCCATGCGGCTAACAAACAGGCCAAGCTGCCTCATCACAGCTGCCTTTTCCGCATTGCACCAGACAATACGTCTTTCTTTGCCAGTGGTGTTTTTTTTCCTGAGCGTCATCGTTAGTCTCTCGATGTGAAGATTTGTCCTCCGGAAACAAGTCTCCCTTCCCCTCTTGGCTTTTTGTCCAGGTAGGACATTTGCGACTTCCACCGCACAATCGTCTTCACCCATGCGCTCCGGACCGTCCTCTTCTGCCATTGGTGCGGTGTTGAGGTGGTCGGCTTCGTCCAGATTTTTCCCTTTGCAGACAGAGATGCCATTTTTGGTTTATTGGTTTTATACAACACGCATCACATCGCAGCCTACTATTGTACATTTTGCTTCGATCCTGAGCATAAAGCACAGCGACTTTAAAACATGGAAAAAGGAAAACATAACTGACCCAAAACGGAACGCCAACTGCATTCTCGCTCCGTTGTTTCGCAATCCACGAACTACACACTATGCACAACTACATCTTCAGAATACCGCTCCGTATTTAAGATCATCTAGAAAATGCATACAATTTGGCTGCAATGGTAATTTGCAGGCCGTCCAATGCTTGAAAGCGGAACTTCAAATACTCACATCCTTAACGAGTGTCGCTCTCGGGAAGCAATCTGGAAAGCCGAAAACGGGTGAGATATGAGACATTTCAGCTCAGAACAGGATTGTGACCCCCACGTGAAAGAAAGCTGTGCTTGTGTTTTGGTGCGTGGGCATGCACCACGCTGATGGCTCACGGGTGGTGGAATTAACATAGCTGTGCAGTAGTCGCGTCCCGAAAGATAGCTTTCCAGTTCACAGCAAATCTGTGAATGAATATCGGAGGCCACAGGCCTCCCGTCCGCGTACATATTACCCATCTTGTTAGAGCACATACACTGCCATCAAGAAAAAGGAAGTGATGGGGCGGCGATGGGGGCGGAGAGAGGGGAACAACAACAAATCGTACTAAGCTCTAGCCACGCAGCCGAACTTAACCTGAAATTAGGCCAACGACAGCACAGTCGCCAACATTCATCGTCAACACGATCAGCAGCTACCGTTATTCGGACGGCCCTCATGCATGGTACGCGCGCCCGTTGGCAAACTATGGCGTCCCTGTCTTCACTCCTGCAGCCACGCACGCACAGCTGCGATGGGAATCGATTTAGAGAAGAGCAACAGTTCCAGTATCATCGCTGGCCGCATGCGGCAAATGCAAATCCATGCCCTGATGCCCTAGGCTAACTACGCCCTGCTCATGCCATGCTGTTCATGCATGCCATACGGTTAACAGTCGTAAGACAGCGAGGCATAACCGAAACGAGTTGTGGTAAAAAGCTTATTGCCTCTAAGCTCAAACAATACATCAATAGGCAATGACGAAACTACGACAGACAGGCCGCGGTGGCCCACAGACCGTCATCCCAGCCTCCGGACGAGTACGCCGCCATAGCCCAAGTGTATGTCTACTGGCTGGTTGGTAAGAGTGGACAGTATTCTGATGGCTGCCATATCGCGGGTAGTGCAGGATGAAGGTAGTGTGCGCCATGATGCAAACAATATGATGTATTTGATTTATGATTTTGTATGGAGTGTGCATTGTGAGTGTGACTGCACGCTACATGTGAATGCATCTACAAAAAATTACAAAAAAGACCAGACAACCAACCCGCTGACCTGACCATCGCATTTGAAATTATCCGACGTCACACCGTAATGCTGACCGCCAAATAGATGGGAGGCAGCCCCAATGCACACCACCGCCGTAATTGTTTTTGACAACGTGACACGCTGCAAGACCGACACCCCTCCTTGCTGCGGATGGGCTTCTCCACGCCATTGCGAGACACTCGTCTGTTTAGGCCCCGCAGACGAGGTCTCTTCGCAGGCATTTTGGTCTGCCCGGAGTGCGCGGACCAAAACCATGCTTAGTGTCCCCTCGACGGATTTTTGCCAACACCGTTGTGGCCCGGAGCCGGATGTGGCAGCCAAACCCGCTACCACAAGCTGTGTTCAGTGAGCGGCCGGACCCCACGCTCATGAAAGCGTTGGTGATTCCCGCGCAAACAAACCGGCGTTGGTGATATGTACTATATATATATATATATATATATATATATATATATATATATATATATATATATATATATATATATATTTATGTCATTGATCCCGCCGTAAAATGCGTAAAACAACATATAGTAGTGAACCAAGGCTTGGTTCAATCGTCCCATTCATGGGAAATAATTAAAGAAACGATGTTGCAGCCAACATCCTAAGCCATACATATTTCACATACAATGAAAAAACCGAGACTGCCAGTGACTAAAAACTTTTTAAAGAAGCATCTGCACCCCACCTGTTCGAATCTGGCAGGGAAATTGCTTACGAGGCCTATTTCCACCATCGCCAATGCTTCTCATTGTTCTTCGGGTAGCCGTGCCCGCGGCAAATAATCTCGAGGACCCATGAGCTCGAACTCTTGACCCGAACACCCCAAAATCCGTCCTTCCCGAAGAATATTATGCTCCATATTGCAAATAGCATATGAAAATGCTGTTACGCGGAAGTCCTGAAACACCCCAGATATAGCGTGAGTTACCTTTGTTGCAGTAAACTTTCCGGAGGAGGTTCTTCATTAACTCTTCCAATGGTATACATATAGGCCATCTGAAAAAAATTGTTTTTGCATGTTTTCATCAAAGAATGACGCCATGCACCGGTGGTGCCACAGAGAAGGAGCACTAAATGTTGACAAGACCATTCAATGACACGGATGCGGGTGTACCTACATAATTACAGGCCGCGATATGTTAGTGGTGTTGGTGGTAGCTGTGGTGGCGTTGGTTGCAGAATAAAGTGGGGCTGGTATAGTCGACACATGCTTGCGTGGAGCTGGCGGAATGAGATACTAAAATGACGTTACACTGAGGTCACGCACCATGCAGGAGCTGTTATGGTCACACACTGGTAGGGGGGGGGGGGGGGGAGGCGGACATTGGTGGTGTTGGCAGGATCAGACACTGGTGAAACTGGCAGGGCAATGGGGTCAGCTGCATGGAGCCGACACTCGCATGGAGCTGGAGGCGTCAGACACCATGGTGGGATGGGTAGACCCAGACATTGTGGTGGGGTGCATGGTGTCATGCACTGTAATGACATCCTAGTGGTTAAGGCACTGATAGGGATGGTGGAGCCAGGCAGTGTAGTGGCATATTTGTGGGGATCAGACGATGCAGTGGTGTTGGCAGTGTTGGACAATGTGATGGGGTAGATGGAAAAAGAAAAGCATACATGAGATGCTAGGTCAGAAGGTGATGACAACAAATGCTACATGTCATAAATGCTTCACACCTTCTTCAGAGTAGTCATTTCCTAAATAATTTAAGACTTTCCTGACATCAACTGACCTGAATCCAGCCGATCGCACTAAGGCTTTCTGGTCTTCAATTGCTTCAAGGTTCAGTGGCTATCACATCACCTGAAACAGCAACAATGCTAAAGAAATATTAAGTGGGTGGAGATTAACTAAGGACTAAGTAAGTAATTTTTGTTTTTACCGGCCCAGAGGTGTTCATTGTATCTTAAACGAGAAGGACGTATGGACTTCCCGACATAGACTCAAACAAAACAGGGAATGCCCCTTTCGGTGATCATTTTTTTGGCAAAACATGCTAAGGCTGAAATCGAGGGAGATATGGACCCTATGCCCCTTTTAGAGCCCAAAGTCGTCTACTGGGCAGAGGACCACCCAAGCAGGGAAAAATTTAATCCATTCTTTCAAAAAATCAGCGACCAAATTTTGACATACAAAGCTCATCCTGGCCGATGATGCGAACGTGATATGTGCCTTTATGTGCGATGTGTGCTAGCTTAAAGTAGTTAACATGTGAAGTGACGCCTGACGCGTGCTGTGCGATATCTGTTCAATTGAAATGGCTTGCATGTATAACTGATGCGCGACTGTGACACCTGTTTACCTCAACCCGCCTGTATGTTTGAATGAAGCGTGGTGCATGATGCATACTTGTTTGAATTAGTTTGCATGTACACGTATTGTCGCCTATTCTAATTCTTAGATACGCACTGTATCGTGGTAACGGCTAGCAATAACTTTTTGTTTAATCCTCTAAGAGTTGGTGTCCTGTAAAAACTGGCTTTCTATTTCCAAAAAAGCTGAAAAATTGAGTAGGGTCACCAGCAGGCAATTTTGAATTTATCTGCTACTCTTTTATATAGGCATGTTGCCGAAATATCAAATCAACTATATCTTCATTCTCCCGGTTTTTCTTCGACGAATAAGGCTATTAATATTGTCTTAGCTATGTGAAAAATGCTCCTCTGCTAATGCTAATGCACTGAACAACTTACGTAATCTTGCACAACACTGATTTGAGCCAAATGACGGCGGTTACGTCTGAAAATTTTTTCAAAAAGCCGAATATGAACGACTCAACAGTCATATGATGGCTTGCCTTAATCACCCCATGGCCAATTAAATGGCAGGATTTGAAGACGTTACGTTTTGTGGGTGCCTGGGCGACCTTGAAATAGTCACCACGAAATAATATACCCACCTTTGCAGGTATGTAGCCCAGAAACTAGAAAGGTTTAGAAAATAAGAAGGGTGCTTAAGAATGGCAGGACTGGGTAACATACTAAATGATCTTCAAGATGTCTAATTTCAGTAGAAACCCATACAAATGTGGCACACTCCCTTCTATGCTCTGGTGTCTACCACACACTAAGGTTCCGATGTATGGAAAACCTTATGTTTGTAATGATTTCCCCTTCAAGGCGGTGTAGGTGTACTTTCCTACCTAACGTTAGAAAAAATCATTGCACAACCTTCGTCGTGCTTAAGGCGGCACAAATCGTAAATAATCTCAAAACAGGTAGAATCATGCTCCCACCTTCGAATTTCAATAACTTCGATGGCGGGCTCCCGAGCGCCGCGCGCACCGCACCGCCTGGACTCCCCAGCGCCGTTTATGCGTCGCCGTTGCGTAAATACAATATTTCTGCTTACCAAGACCTGTACAAAATGTACGGGACCAAGGTAAACCATTCGTCGTGTTTAAGGCGGAACATATCGTAAATAATTGCAAAACAGATAGAATCATGCTCCTACCCTCGAATTTTAATAAATACGATAGCGAGTTCCCGAGCGCCGCACGCACTGCACCGCACCGCCTCGACTCCCAAGCGCCGTTCCTGCGTTGTTGCGAAAGCACAATATTTCTGCTTATCAAGAACCATAAAATATGTACGGGACCAAGGTAACAATAATAAAGCAACCAAAATCGTTTCTTATCGAGTTTAGGTACATTTATGAAACACACAGGTCAGAATAGTCCAGAACATATCCTAAACTAGCCTAACCTAACCAAACTTAGCCAAACCTAACCTAACCTAACCTAACCTAACCTAACCTAACCTAACCTAACCTAACCTAACCTAACCTAACCTAACCTAACCTAACCTAACCTAACCTAACCTAACCTAACCTAACCTAACCTAACCTAGCCTAGCCTAGCCTAACCTAAACTAAACTAACCTAACCTAACCTAACCTAGCCTAACCTAACCTAACCTCCCCACCCTATATCCCCTTCAACCCAGCATCCCATGGCTAAGCTAAGCTAAGCTAGCCTGACCTGACCTGACCTGACCTGACCTGAACCTAACCTAACCTAACCTAACCTAACCTAACCTAACCTAACCTAACCTAACCTAACCTAACCTAACCTAACCTAACCTAACCTAACCTGAGCTTAGATATAAGCTCATAACCTTATGAGCTTAGATATAAGCTAATAGACCAGAACCTAAGCTTAGCTAAGCTAACCTACCCTAACCTAACTAACCTATCCTAACCTAACCTAACCTAACCTAACCTAACCTAACCTAACCTAACCTAACCTAACCTAACCTAACCTAACCTAACCTAACCTAACCTAACCTAACCTAACCTAACCTAACCTAACCTAACCTCCCCACCCTACATCCCCTTCAACTCAGCATCCCATTGGCGTCCATGTTCCATGCCATATATAGGTGCCATATAGTGAGCTTTTATTTAGTTGTCATGTTCTCATTTTGCTTTACATTCCCCACCCAATCCCCCTGCAACCCATGGTCCCGTTGGCGTCGAGGATCAAATTTCATGGATTCTTGTTACCTTGGCCCGGTACATTTTTATGGTTCTTGATGCTGCTTGATGCACAGTAATGTTGTGACGCGCGCAGTAATGGCGCCGGTGTCGCGGGTGTCGCGGCTACTGTGTGAGTGTGCGACGCTCGGGAGTTCGCCATCGTAATTATAAAAAAATTGAAGGTAAGATTATGAATCTACCTGTTTTGTGATCATTTACGATATGTCCTGCCTTAAACACGACGAATGGTTTACTTTGGTCCCGTACATTTTGTAGAGTTCTTGGTAAGCAGGAATATTGTATTTACGCAACGGCAACGCAGAAACGGCGCTAGGGAGTCCAGGCGGTGCGGTGCGCGCGGCGCTCGGGGGCCCGCCATCGAAGTTATTGAAATTCGAAGGTAGGAGCATGATTCTACCCGTTTTGAGATTATTTACGATATGTCCTGCCTTAAACACGACGAATGGTGTACAATGATTTTTTCTAACGCTAGGTAGGAAAGTACACCCTGACCTTCAAGGCTAAATTGGTGCCCAAAGCCTCTAAAAACGTGTTGTTCTAGGGGGTTGGGGAACATGTCCGTAAGTGCCTAACGGCAACATTTCTGAAATGTAAGACGACACCCACTGCAAATGCATGAGAAAAACTGCAAGCATCCCCCTTACAAACGTCTGGTCTAGCGTGATCAACCTACCCAGACAATTGCATAATATTGCTGAAGTCAATCTCTTCAACCACCTTCAGAAGCTAACACAATGTTCGCCACTTCAGAAACTATCCTTATCGGCACACCATTCTCTAATCAATCAAGGCGGATCAGTCCTCCATTGGCTACAGTTGTCGGTAAAGGGGGTTCACCAATCCCTTTCGAATATTCACTACTCACTTTTCAAAATCTTGCCGGACGACAATAACTTACATCCAACGTAAGCCCAGTCTTCTTGTCCTAGAGGCCACACACCGCAATGTCACCGTCGCGCTCGTTCCAAGAACGCGCAATGGCGGCGATAGAGCTACGCATCCCATGCGACTTAATACAATTTACGTTAATATCTTTCATCACCAGTTTCAACGTGATTCAATGTGATTTAAATGCTTACGCCAGACGCAAACAACTTACAAGTGATGAGACCATATCATGGAGCAGCGTGATTTCGCATTTCCTTATTCATCTCTATTCTCTTCCACGTGACCTTGCCACCTGAAAAACTTACACGCGCGCAGTTCGTCCAAGGATAACACACTTCACACAACCGGAAGTAAAAATGCGCACGATCACGTCTTTCGAGGACCAGCTGAAAACCGGATGAACATGTTCAAACAAGGCTAAATATCCCATTTAAGGCCTCTGAAAACAGAGGTCCGACATTTGGACCTCGGTAATGACTACCGGACCTCGGCAGTGACGGGTTGTTGGGTGTGTAAGCGGATTTGGCCCTCTGTTTTCACGGCACACACACACACACACACACACACACACACACACACACACACACACACACACACACACACACACACACACACACACACACACACACACACACACACACACACACACACACACACACACACACACACACGCACACACACACACACACACATTCATTGCATTCAACAATCACAGACGTTTGGATGACGGACGACCACCTCATCGCAGCAAAGGTTTCCCAGCACGGCAAACGGCGGGCCCCAGCTCGGCGGTCAAGTCCGTAAGCGACCTGAGCTGGGTCGCTCCCCCGCACTGAATGTGGGGAGCAGCCCGGTGCTACCTTGTCGTGCTGTGCAGTGTAATTCGGGAAAGGTCCTAGCTACAAAAAACGGATTCCTAAACCTATGGGGAAAAACCAGCACGTTTATGCCGAACTGTGCTTGAAAAAAACCTTGCAAATGAGGAAAACCAGCACGTTTTGGCCGAATTGCGCGTGGAACAAAACCTCACGGCAATGAGAAAAAACCTGCTCGCTGGCAATTGAGCAGGTGAAAACCTCGCAACATTTACGTTGTTATATGTAATTATCTAAGTTGGTTTTGTGTAGGTATTTGAAGAGGATGTTTGTGTACTGCACGATTTTTTCACGGCAGCGTCTGTAGACTGGGCAAGCCAGCATGAAATGTGCCATCGTGTATGGTGTGTGGCAGTAGCGACAGAGTGGTGGTGGGTTGCATTCTATGATGTATGCGTGGGTTAGTTTTGTGTGGCCTATTCGCAGCCTAGCGAGAAGGATCTCCTTAAAGCGCGTGTTCTGGTTACCTGAGCTCCAGGGTGAGAGTGTTGGTTTGATGTGCGTGTGTTGGCGGCCGTGTTTGTCCCATTTACGTTGTAAAAAGCAGTGAGATGTTGAGTTTATGACATTGAGATAGTCGGATACTGGACCGGCAAGATGATTTCGGGCTGGCATGTTAATTCCGCGGCAACATCGGCGGGGTCGTTCCCCTGGGTGCCCTCATGGCATGGCACCCAAAGGAAGACAACGTGTGACTCCGCTGTTAGTGATGAAAGTGTGGAGGGGATTTTGTAAATCAAGGGGTGCGAGGAATTGTGCATAGCTGATATGGCGTGCAGGGAAGAGCTGGAATCGGTGCAAATTACAGTTTGTTTGATGGCATGTTCTTTAACGTGGCAAAGTGGTGAAAAGATTACCACTAATTCTGATGTGTGTACTGTATGACAATCTGAAAGGCGTTTGGCTTTAGTATAAATTGCAGATATATGCTGCTCTCGTGCGGCCTTCGCATCGGAAGCCATCAGCATAGAGGTATGTATATGTGTTGTGCTCAATACGAAATTCCGCGAACAGGGACTGGGCCTCCGTATTTGTAACGGTACGTTTTTTGTGCGTGAATAGAAACCGAATCGTTGCAATGGTGTCCAGCCAGAGCGGACGTAGTGGAGGCGCGGGCATCTTGTGAATGTGTGGCAGTTGGAAAAGGCGTTGTGCTTGTGTTACGTAGGCGCTGGTTGTGGGGTGCTTGCTGCGTTGTGAAGTGGGTGCTGTTATTGTTTTGAAAGTAGGCTGTGTGGGTCTGGCAGCTGCCCGGGCGTAAAATCCGAGAGATCGTTGTTTGCGTCGGTGTATAAGTGTTATGTGTGTACCCGACAACAGGCTGGACAACTGGAAGGTACGGAGGGCACCAGTGACCACGCGGAGAGCGGCGTTCTGGACCGTTTTCAGGGTGCTAATTTTGCTCGAAGAAATACCATCAAATATAAACGCATTGAGGTCCAAGATCGGTCGAATCAAGGCGGTGTACACACGGAGCAGGGTGCGCCTATCGGCTCCCCACTCTCGTCCGGGAGGACATTTTAAGGTATTAAGTCGTCGGGTGCCGCGCTATCTTAGGTCAGCAAATTGGACGAGAAAGTAAGTCGGCGATCCAGGGCGACCCCGAAATACTTAAATTGGGTGAAAAGTGGGATGAGTTGACAAGGCAGGTTCAAAGGGGGCTCGAAGCGCAACAATTACGTTCTGTCTGGAGAAAAAATAAGCGGTGAAATCTCAAGACCCCACCGTTCGCACCATTGGTGAATGTGATTTAGAGCTAGTTGTACATGGCGATTTGCTCGATCGACACTGGGATTCGTAAACCACGTCGCCAGGTCGTTGGCGAAGAGAGAATAATTCAGATGTGGCAAAATTTCATGCGTATCATTAAAAGCATCGTTGATCATAATTAAAAAGAGCGTCGGCGGGATCACGCTGCCTTGGGGTAGCCCGTGGTCCTGTTTCGCAGGCGCTGACAGCCTGTTCCCGCAGCGAGCGGCAAAGGTTCGATCTGCTAAAAAAAATTGCAAAAATTTGGCGAATCGGCCACGGATTCCTATCCTGTGCGGTTTAATCAGAAGGGCAGTCTTATTTACTTTATCAAATGCGACTTCAAGATCCAAAAATAGTGTAACCGTAACCCTTTTGTTGACAACCACGTTGGACTGAATCAACAAGTTGGACGAGGCTGTACGCCGTGGAGCGGCCAGGGCGAAGGCCGCTTTGGTTGGGGGAGATAAGATTGTGAGGCTCTACGTGGGCCCTGATACGAGCGGTGACCATTTCTTCAAATAGTTTCGGTGCACAGATTGACAGAGAGATAGGGCGATAGCTCGAAGGATCAGATGGAAGCTTGCGATGCTTTAGTATCGGGTTAATAGTGCTAGAGCGCCAAGTATAAGGGAACGTTTCATTAATTCAAATATCGTTAAAGGCAAAGAGAAGATTTAGCATTCCAGACTCAGACAGATTTCTGAAAAAGCGTAAGTGATCTGGTCTGGACCGACCGAGGTGTCGCTGCACTTGCTGAGGGCCAGCCTCAGTTCGTGCGGCGTGAAGAGTGCGTTATTGTGTTCAGTTTTGTCAGTAGTAAAGTCGGGCGCATGAAGTGTGATGTTGAGCAAATTCGTGAGCTGTTGGGAGTGTGGGAGTATTGATCGGACGATGGAACACGGACGTAGTGCAGTGCAAATTGCGTGGCGTCCTCAAATGGCACCTCATAGTGCTGGCTGTTGACTATAAGGTGTGGGATTTTGTAGTAGTATGTGCGTTTATTGGTGAAGATCTACGTTAGCGACCATATTTTTTGACAGGGCGTGAATCGGTTAAACGTGGTAGCGAAATTTTCCCAGTTTTTCATTTTTGCTTGTTTTATTACTACGTTGGCTTGGTGTCGAGCCCTGCGAGCTTCCTCCTCGCGGGCTGTGCAAATACAATTGCGAAAAGCACGCATGGCTCGGCGTCGCAGGGCCACTGCGCGCTGACACTCATCGTTCCACCAGGGCGCGTGTTTGTCCCCGGGCTGACGATGAGTGCGTGGAACAGACTGATGCGCTGAGGCCAAAGACTTTTCAAAAATTCAATAAGATTGGGTGTCGATTCAGCGGGGTGAGCCTCGTCTATATCAAATGAAATTTGAAATGTGATCCTAATTGTGAAATGTGAAATTTGAAATGTGAAATCTATTTGAAATGTGATCCAGTCCGCTTTCCGGAGGTTCCATCGAGGGAGGAAATGGATATCCACCTGTCCTGAGGGAACTTTTAATTCATGGCGAATTGGATAATGGTCACTGAACAGCGGATCTGTTTGTACGTTGTGTGTGAAGTGTGGCGCACTGCGTGGTGTTGAGAGAGCCGGGTCAATCACAGAGAAACTGACGGCTGCCCCTCGGTGTTGTATGTGTGTAGGTGTTTGACTGTTGAGGTATACGAGGTCATGAGTATGTAGTAGTGTGTGGAGCGTGGTGCCGCGGGGTTGTGTTGAATGGCACCCCTACGCTCGGTGGTGGGCGTTAAAATCGCCCAAGATTAGGCAGGGGGAGGGGATTTGAAAGAAGAGGCTGGAGAGCTGGGCGGCAGTGAGGGGGTTAGTTGTGGAAACATAAAGGGAGACGAGAGTGGGGCCAAGTTGTGCGATTTTTACGTTAACTGCTGTAAGATCAAGATTAGTATTAAAGTGCACTCGATGGTGCGGTAAATGACTGGACACATCCAGCGCCTTGCCGCCACGGTGAGGTGTGCCATTTACGTTATCGGTGTAGAGGCAATAATTTCGAATATTTAAGTTGCAGTCCGTGGAATCAGAGCCATTAAAAAGAGTCTCTTGAACAGCGGCAATCAATGGTTTATGCTTGACGATACATTCTTTTGAATTCGCTCTAATGAATACTAGGAATCTGATGTCCCATTGGAGCACGAGGACTACGAATTCATTAAATGGAGAGTGCATTTATGGGGAGGGAAGTGAGGCCGTCTTTCTGCCCGTGCAGCGGGGCGGAAGCGCGTTTGAACAGTCCCGGCGCGGGTCCGTTTGGAGGAGCCTGGAGAGAGGGAGGGCTGGCAGGGTGCTGGTCCTCTCTCAGGGGATGGGGAGGTCGTCCGACTAGTCCCTGATGGGTCTGTTCCCAGGCTGGTCCGGGGGAGCCAGTCGTCGACGACCCCGGCTCCGACACGGCCCTTGGTCGCGCACGGCGAGAGCCGCTGATCAACCATGGGC